CACCCCTGGAGTCTAGCCAGATACCTGATGCCAAGGGGTGTGGTGATTTGGATGTTGCAGTCTCTGCCATTCCCTCGTCTGCGACCATCGAGCATGTGATGCATGTGAGTGACATGACCACTGAGCCAAGTGTGGTTGCACCTACTCCAAATCCAAATGCTCTCTTCGCGAAAGAACTTTGTGACTTGCTCGCCAGTGTGGAGGTTGCTAGACCTGGTTTGGGCAGGTCAATTGCTTGCCTTCTGACGGGGACACCAATAAGAGGCAAACACAAGAAGGTGAGAAAAGGCAAGAGTGGTGCCATAGGCAAGGCGTCTCTGACTACTTGATGGATGATCTTCATTCTCTCGGCCCATCCTCTTGAATTGGGTCGTTGTTGTGGGTTGGAAGGTGTTTGATGTCTTATATTGATGTGTTCTTGTCGGGGGTCACATGGCGTAGTAGCAATGTCGAGGTTTGTGGATGTTGTGTAATCAGAAGTCCGGCGGGGGCCGCCTATGCGGTTGTGGGGTTTTTTTTGCCATGTGAGTAGTTAGTCCGTCCTTCGTTTGTATTGGTTTTCGCCCGGTTTTCCTTTAATTAACTGGGCAATTTTCTTCTTCTTAATTAATCAATGAGGCAAAAATTTTGCCTTCGTTTCGAAAAAAAAACTGGCTGGCTGTCAAATTCGAATGGGTGTACGCAGGCAGTCAGCGGGGCCATCCATCCACGTGCTAGAACAAGGCCACATGCTGGATGTGCACATGGAGCCTTCTCATGTCGTGTGCTACTACTAGTACTAGTACGTTTGTGAATGCGTTCCTGTGCATGGCCGCAGCGCTGCCTCGTTCGTCCGTTTGCGCGAGACGTCTCTTTCGCGCCTATACTCGAGTGTGGACCGAGAGAGATCCATGTGGCTCCGCTGGATTTTCTTCACTCCGGTGTTTGCATGCGTAACGACCCCCAACCCCCTATTTGGGCGGGCATCTGCAGATTCAATCGCCCCCAACAACCCCTCGTAGCGAGAATTAGCTGGCTTTCAAAACTGCGCTTCAGAGTTTGAAGTTTGAAGAGATGGCAGTGCTAGTGTCACCCATCTTTCGTGGAGTAAACTCCAGTTCGTTGCCAGGGATTATGTTGTGAGAATGGGTAGTATTTTTTGCGGGTTTGTGAGAATAGGTAGCGTGGGATGAAAGCACGCACAGACCAATAAAAATGAGGTGAAAAGCGGTCTTGAAAATTACAACCCAGGATCATGCACCACGGGACGACCATTGCCACCAATGGAAGTTGTCGCTCCTCTCTATTGGACCCAGCTTGACCGTGTCGATGATAGCCGAAAAGTTTTTGTGCACATAAGAACCGCCACCCCAAAGTTGCCGTCTTCGCCCGCCATAATATGTTTGTTTGCAGGCTGAGCGTACTGTGGAGCTGGCATTTTTCTGCTCGGAGGAAGAGACAACGGAATTCAACCTGTGGGCTGTGGGCGGAGCATGCATCACAAGCTGATGCACGCTAGTTAGTGGAGGGGGCCACGTGTTAGGAACGGGTCCAAGTGAAAGCTGGGTGTGAGGGGGACCCGCAGGGCATGGCCAACGCTCCAACTTGGACCAATGCCCCGCAGGTACACGTCGGACTAGCAGTTGGCGTTGAGGAGAATGGCAAAGAAGGCAATTTGACCATGCTCTGTTGGCGAGCCTATCCGCTGTCCAAATCTGTTTTGTATGGCAAGCCAAGCGAACAATTTACTTTTGGCGGGGCCCAAACCTTTCAAATCAAGTGTTCCATCGGCGAGCGGATCAGGCTAAGGAATTGCACCTTGTAAGCGGACTCTGTCGAGTAGAGGCCATTACCAGTATGTTATGTTTCTAGACGATGTCGTCTAGCACTTCATCGAGGAGCTGGAAGTCGCGGATGCTTGCCCATAGTTGAATGAATTGGTGGAAATGTGTGAACGAGAAGGTCGCAGATCTCTTTATTTCGGATACCCATGCGCCATCTTGTAGAGCTTCTCTAATCTTCCAATATTTCATCGAGGATGCCCTGTAGATGAGGGGCGCAATATCCTTGGGCTTCATATCATGCACCCAAGGCGCGTCCCAAAAGGACGTGCGCGCACCATTGCCGATGGTAATGGTTGTGAAGCGATTGCAAAGTGTGGTGTTGCAGGATGCAACGTTTCTCTATGGCATACGTATACGTGGACCGTGTGTGAGCCACTTGCTGAGCAAACCGATGTGAACACATGGGGTGTGTGTGTGTGGCGCATGTGTATATAATGCCGTCCTTGTACCAAACGCTTCATCCACACAAGAAGCACATCACCTAGTGTTATTGCAGCTTGTGGGTCGAGATGGGGCGCGGCAGATCTAAGGCGTACTCTTCCTATCTAGAGAAGCACATACAAAAAAATTTGGCTTGGTTTTTTTGGATGTGCTCCTCTAGCTAGGAAGAAGGAACGTATACGTGGCTATGATGGTACATCCCACCATCATCTTCTTCTTCTCCGGCTCTTCTATTGCCAACTTGCTAGCATTTTGCACTAACTTTTTTTCACTCCAACCACCGGACTGTGACTCGTCCGAGGCATCTACGTTGCTAGGATGGCATGCAAGTGTCCTAGCAAGCGTTCCCGTTCTCGCAAGCAAGCACCAGCCGGTAGGTCTATCTTCCTACCACATGGTTTGAGATCTACACATTTGGCTACCTTCCTAGGGTTTAGCTCGATGTAATTTCCATCTCCCATGTCCATTTAACATTGTTTGGGGATCTATGCTATAGAGTAGTGCCATGGAGAAGATACGGTTACTGTTTCCCTGGACCTTAATCTTACACAGTTCCTCCATCACAGTCCCGCGACCACACCTTTGATTTGAGGGTTCCATTCCCCAACAAGGGTTTGGAGCATCAATGAGTTGAAGGCAAGAAGGACACACACACACCCCCATATGCTCACATCGGTTTGGTCTCACACACTGTCCACGTATGCCATAAAGAAACGTTGCATCCTGCAAGCAACAGCACACATTACAAAAGCTTGTCTTATGATTTACTCCTTCCGTTCGGAATTAGTTGTCACAAAAATAAATAAAAATGGATGTATCTACAACTAAAATACATCTAGATACATTCATTTCTTGGAAGAGTAATTCCGAACGGAGGGAGTATATGATAGATTTTAATCATCTGTCTAGCTTGCAGGTGGTGCCTCAAGTTCAACTTTCTCCTGATCAACTTCCTCTGCAGGGACGGACTCTTAAATCTGATTTGCTCATTGCCGGTCCTAAAATCTACTCTGATGCAATTTTCAGATGTAATAAAGTTGAGGGTTCTATTCCCCAAGGGATTGGAGCATCAACGAGTTGGAGGCAGGAAGGACACACACCCCCATGTGCTCACATCGGTTTGCTCAGGAAGCGGCTCACACACTGTCCACGTATGCCATAACCCATAAAGAACCGTTGCATCCTGCAAGCAACACCACACTTTGCAGTCGCATTATCTTGTCATTTCGGTTTTTTTCTTCCTATGCGGCGCACGCAGCTACTCCCTCTGTTGAAATATAAAATGTTCTAACTTTTTTCCGATTCAGATGTGTATAGACACAATTTATTGTGTGTGTGTTTTTTTTTACTATTTCAGCATGTACGCAGTTCATATTAAAATATCTAAACATCTTATATTTGTGAACGGATGGAGTAGTAATTAAGCATGAACCATAATGCAGATCCAGCAGAAGGAAAGTTTTATATTGTGTATGGGGCACCCAGAACGGAGATGGCCAGAAGACAGCAGCCAGTTGTGCTGAGTTGGACGCCACCAATGTCGGGATGGATGAAATTGAACACAACGGTGCGTTTGTTTCTCTGGATGCAGCAGGAGCAGACATGCTTATGCGGGATCATCTAGGTGCTATTAATTTTTCAGCTTGCAGAGCCCTCTTTACATGCAGAGATGCATTGGAGGCGGAACTATGCACATGCATGGAGGGGCTCTCCCTGGCCATTCAACGGACGGATCTTCCTATTGTCGTGGAGCTGGATTCTCTCGAAGCGGTATCTTTGATATCGGGTGCGGAGCTTGATCGCTCAGTTTATGCTTCAATTGTGAAGGAGATAAAGCTTTTGATGAGTCCTAGACAAACTTGTATTACTCATGTATCTATATCTCAAAATAAAGCTAGTGATATGTTAGCTTCTTTTGCTAGAACTCATGGTAGGACTATGACCTGGCTAGGAGCTGGCCCGAGTGAGGTTTTGGAGATTACCTCAGATGATTGTAAGGACATTGTGATTGAGTAATACAAGTTTTCACCCCGCAAAAAAAAGTAATTAAGAACCGAGACACAATCGACCACGGGGTGAAGAACAACAGAAACAAAGCTAAGATAATTATTAATATGATACATATAGCTTGGCGAATATTCTGGCTCGGTCATAGTCTTAAAAACCGGACTCGATCGGCGGTCGGATCGAAAAAACCGAAACCGGCGATCCCGATAGTTTTTTAAGTGCAGCGGATCAATCGAGCAATCAAACTGAAAAAAACAAGTAGAAACGGACGGTTTCTCAAAAAACCGATGAACCAGGTAATTCACAGAAAACTGGTCGGTTCGATGTTGTTTACAGAAAAGCCCCTCAATCAACTCATTTTCGTGCGAACAAGCTCGAGGTCGAATTAAAAAAAGGGAGAAACCCCCTCTTTAGTAGGGTTTCAGCCATTTTAGGAGCATTTCTCTCGACTTTATCCACGGACAAACCCTATAGGGCGTCGGTGCCCCTCCGGCTCAACCCTTGCTTGGCGCCATGGCATGGCGATGTCGCTTCTCCCTCGCCGCTCCATGTGGTACTGACCACCAACCCATGCCGCCACTCCCGCGTCCCGCCATCTGCACCACCTCTATAGACTGTTGGGGAGAGAGGCTGCCGCCACCTGGTTAGACTGGTCCATACAACTTTGTTCTCCCTCCGCTATAGTCAAATCGACCAGGTTTTTTCATCCGTTCACCGCTGATTTTTTTATCCAAGGTGATATCAAATCTTCTAGAAAAGGAAAAACGGTTTTTCCTAAATTTCGTAAGTGCGCCACGTGCAATGTGGCCAAGCGAAGTCAGCCCACTTATTTTCCAGCCCACACAACTGAGAAACCCTATGTTTCTAAAAAAAAAACTGGGAAAAACTATTTGCCGCACGTGACACCAAATAGTTGCAACTTGCAGAGGGCGCCCAAGATTGGGCCGACCCGTTTCCTTCTTTTTTTGTTTTCTATTTCTATTTGTCCTTTTTTATTCCTTCATCTTTTTCTTTCCAGTTTCTTTTTTACCTTCCAATTTCTTTTTTTTTCCTTTTCATATATTAAAAATTGTAAAAAACTTTCAGAATTTTAGTTTGTGTTTAAATTTTTTAAAAATCTTCAGAATTCCAAAATTTTGTCCCCATTTAGAAAGTGTGTGGATCTTTAATTTTTTTCTCATTCAAAAGTTGTTCAAAATTCAAAGAAAAATATCATTTTTTCAAAACATGTTTGTGTTTTCCAAGAAAAATCAAGATTTTCAAGAAGATGCATTTTCAAAATGTTCCAAATTCGTAAAATATTCTTGTTTTGGTAAATTATTCAAAAATTAAGGAAAACTATTTTAAATAGTCCCACATTGCTCCTTTACATATAGTCGTACCAATTTATATATGTGCGTGAAATTACATTTAGTAATATGCTGTAATATTTTTGGTATGTGAGCTATCTGGGAAAGGACCCTGAAGTTTTTAAAGTGAAAAAATCCCATCTTTTCAAAAAATATTTGTGTTTTTCATTTTTTTAGATTTAAAAAAGATTGCATTTTCAATAATGCTCCAAATTCGATATTCTTTAATTGGTGAAATGTTCACAAATTTAAAATAATGTTCACGTCGAAAAATACACATTTTCTAATAAAAATCTGAGTGCTTAAAACATGTTCTGGTTTAAAAAATTGTTCACAAATTCAAAAAATGTACATGTTTTTATAAAAGGTTCAATATGTTTGTGAGTTTTAAAAAATGTTCCCATTTCAACTTTTGTTCATGTTTGTCCAAAAATGTACGGCATTTTCAAAAAACTATTCCCACTTTTTTAAAATGTTCGGGATTTTAAAAATTGTACATGTTCCTATGAATATTCGGATATTCATAATAATAATTATTTTTTGAAAAGTTCAAAAAATATAAAAAAAAGGTTTTGAATATGACGTTGTAGTATGTTCTTCAATTTTTACACTGGTAATTAGTTAGTAGGATGTGTTTGTTCGAGTGGCTGGCAGCTCTTGGTCAGGTCTTTCAGATCGTGAGTTTGATCCTTGAACTTGTCTTATTTTTTTGGATTTTACTCGCGCCTTAGAAAAATACAGGCTGTTTCGATGCTGGTGCCTTTCACAACCCACACAACTTAGCCGACCTAACTACCTGGAAAATATGGCAAACTAATAGTCCCACATTGCTCCTTTACATATAGTCGTATCAATTTATATACATGTGTGAAACTGCATGCAGTAAGCTAGATAAACGATGCATGAATTAAGTTGGACGAAGGATGGATAGATTGGCACGTGAGCTAGCTGGAAAAGGACCTTGAATTTCTTTAAGAAAAAATAACTCCAATATGTGAGCTAGATGGATGGATTTCTATGTGAGCTAGCTATAAAAGGACTGTGAGCTACATGCATGAAAAAGAGTAGACTCGGATCACTTCCATATTAGGAACTTCAAAACTTAAATCGTCTTGATCAATTAATGAAAAAATAGCGGAGCAGAATTAACTCCAATTGTACTATATTGGTGGCTTGTACATGGAAAAGAGAAGACCTCACTTCCATATTATGGAACTTTATATCTTAAAATCCCCTCGAATGAATGAAAAAAATAGATCGACTAATTCGTGAGCCTTCTCTCGCATGTGATGACCTAACAAAACCCTTAATTCCCCTTGATCAATGAACGAAAAAAAATTACGGATTGGTTACTTCACACCGGCAAAACCCAGAATCTAGATGTTCCTTTTCGGCGTGCACACATTTTTTTTGCTTGCACATATAATTCTCACTAAATTTAAATGCACACTATCTTTTCTTCCGTTGCAACGCACGGGCATATGTACTAGTTCATCACTAAAATAAACAAATAATTAACTCACGAACACAACTAAACACTGACAGGCAGTTGCATACACTTCATTATGAGACAATGCTTGGTAAGCTTGGGACCCTTGCATGGAGGGCTCACGGCGCCGTCTTCTTCACGCCCAGCTTCACCTAGGCCCGCCCCTGATATGTGGCCAACCTCCGCCAACTCGTGTGCATCAACTGCTTTCCCCACGAGTCGAATTCCGTTGTCTCTTCCTCCAAGCAAGTTTACTGATTTCTAGTGTGCATCCACGTATAATTGACAAGATCATCCAGAAGTGGCATATGCATTTGTTGATCTTGCAGTTGTCGATGCATCTTCAGAAAGTTGGCAATATTTTCTACTTGTTCCAGGAGGTGGACCTGAACATCAGGATTCTTGAAATCATGCGCGCACGTTGCCCCTTCACCCTCATCATCGATAATCATGTTGTGCAAGATTACACAACATGTCATGACTTGCCAAAGTGTCTCCGGTTCCCACATCATCGCAGCTCCATGAAGAATACCCCAACGAGCTTGGAGCACTCCAAAAGCCCTCTCCACATCCTTCCTAATCGCCTCTTGCATTGTTGCAAAACGGGTTTGTTTGTTGCCTTAAGGATCAGATATGGTCTTCACAAACACCACCCACCGAGGATAGATACCATCAGCATGGTAGTACCCCCTGTTGTAAAGTCCGGTAGCAATGACGAAAGAAAGTTTCATGGAATGTTGGGACCACTGTGAAGTAGTCCTTGTACAGAAGGTGTGCACCAGCAACCCTATTACGCGGAATAACTCTATGGCCCTTGATGGAACCCTTGAAATTTAGGACATGCTCCTCTGCTTTCTCGAACTCCTCTTGGATGCTCATCATCATCATTATCATCATCATTTCGGCATCCTCATCGCCCGAATCCGACGATGCGATTAAATCCTTGAATATGAATTCATTAAGATCATCGTCTCCATTGCCATCATTCCACGATGAATCCATTGGTGGCCTAGAAGTAACAACCGAAAGAAAAAACCAGCTCGGGCATTTCATCGAACACGTAGAGTGCGAGGTGAAAAAGTGAATATTAAACCAACTTCACCTGGCGAACCAAAAAAACCAGAAGAAAAGCCACAGAAGAAAAAAAAACAAAAGAAAAACCAACAGTAGAAAGCAACAACGACACCCCAGAAAAAACTCAAAACTGGGTCGGCTCAACAACCCGGCTCAACCCCCAGAAAAAACCAACAGTAGAAAACATTGGTGGCCTGGCCCGACGCTGCTCCCGGGCCAGGCTCGGGCCTAGTTTTTGAGCCCGAAGGCCGGGCCGGGCCGGGCCCAGGCCCGTCATTTTTGCATTTTCCTGAAGGTCGTGCCGGGCTGGCCCGAAGCCCGACGGGCTTTTACGTGTTCGGGCTAGGCTCGGGCCCAGAAAGACAGGCCTGATGGCCGGGCCGGGCCGGGCCCGGGCCTGAGTTTTTTGTGTCGGGCTTGGCTAGGCCCGGCCCGAAGCCCGACCGGGCCCGAGGTTTGGCCAGGTATAGGCATGACTAATCTGTGCCTCCACGAGAAGTAAATCTGTGCTTCTCATGAAAGAAAAAAAGAAAATATGTTTTTTTTTCTCTTTTCGAGAGGCATGGCGCGCCTTTCGCAAAAGCAAATTCGTGCCTCCATGAGAAATAAGTATGTGCCTCTCGCGAAAAAATACATTTTTTCCTTTCCGATAGGCACGACCTTCGTGCCTCTTACAGAAGAAAATCCGTGCCTCCACGAAAAGTAAAGCTATGCTTCTCACGAAAGAAAAAATAATATATGTTTTTCTCTTTTCGAGAGGCACGACTGTGCCTCTCACTGAAGCAAGTCCGTGCCTGCACGAGGCACGAGAAGTAAATCTATGCCTCTCTTAAAAAGGAAAAAACGTGTTTTCTCTTTTCGAGAGGCACAACCATGGCTCTCATGGAAGGAAAGAAAGAAAAGAAAACCCACCTTTTATCTTGCAGAGGCAAAGCCTTACCTCCACAAGAAGTATATTTGTGCCTATCGCGGAAGCAATGCATGCCTCCACGAGAAATAAATCTATGCCTCTCGCGGAAGAAAAAAATGCATTTTTTTCATTTCCGAGAGGCACGACCGTGCCTCTCGCGGAAACAAATCCATACCTCCACGAGAAG